TCCCAGCATCCTCTCACTGCTCTGCTGCTGCTGCTGCTGCTGAGCCCTTGCCTCCTGCCAGCTGTGTTTGGGTGTCGTGCTCTGCAAGCAGGAAAAACGCAGAGACACCAGCATGACACTTTGTGTAGAGGTTGCTTAAGTGCGTTTGATTTTTGAGTCCCACAGTCAGGGTTCTTGCATGCATGAGAGACCCTTAAAACACCAAGTGACTTAACAGCAAAGGAAAAGATTATTTTCACTAGCAAACGGTTTTACTTAAAAAGAGCTGGTGTGGCCTGGAGGTTCTAAATGAAAAGTCTCTTAAAATTTCATTTTTAAAATAACTTGAAGCCCCATTCTCTTACAGTTTTTTAAGTAACTAAAATTTGATGTGAAGGTGATTCCTCAGAAGAGTAACTAGTGAAGCTGAAATATTAGGAAAAACACAATTAGTGATGGATTCTCTCAGTAGGTAGTTGCATTTTGGTAGAGAAACATAATTAGGGAGCTTTATGTCTGTCTAGTAACTTCCAGTTGGCTGAGATGGGCTTCCATATAATATTTTTAGTGCTGTCCTTTTCTCAGTTAGTCAGTAGGTTTTGGCACCTAAAACTCTTAATTAGGCAGCAGCTGGCAAAGCAAAATCCAGAGCACGGCTGAGGCTGCTGGTCTGGGTGGCTTTGTTCAACAGCCATCCCTGCCTTTCTCTTCTCTGCAGAATGAACTCTGGTGCTTTTCTTTAAACTCCTTCTTATTCTTACTCTTTAAAGGGATTGCTCTCTTCCTAAAATACCTCATCTTAGCATTTTTTGTGGAAGCTGGAAAATCACAGACTTGCTGTGTTTGAAAGATTTGCATATCTTTTGTTTGCTTATGTTCTTCCCGAGGTTTTCTGAGCTTCTCTGTAGGTAGTGGCATAATGGTTGGAAATCTCAGATTCAAATTTCTGTTTAATAGAATGTGTGAAATTTTTGCTAAGAATTTGTACTGGAAAAAGCCCAGCTCAGGGCCAGTCACTGTGTAAGCATCCATGCATCTGCCTCTGCATGAATTATAGATTTTTGACAGACTGTGCTCTATCAGAATGGACATCTGGGGCTAAGTGCTGCGTGGTAACTTGAGGATAAAGCTAGTCTGCTGCTGGCTTCTGTGAAATACCAAGAACTTGAAACCGTGTAAAGCTAAATTGACTCTTGTGTGGAGTGAATGGAGCGACCTTTGGCCACCATACGTTGGGAAGCTGTGTAACAGAAGGAGCAGCCTGCCACAGCTCCTGAGTAGGGAGGTGCTGCTGCTTTTAGACCCTGGGCTGCAGCAGGCCCCAGGCACTTGCCCTCTCTCTGCTCAGATAATCCCAATAATCATCAATAATCTCACACTGCCCTGCCGGTTCCTGCAGTGACCTTACAAATAAACTGAGGTGTATTTTATAAGCTAATATAACCAAGTTTCTGTAGGCACAATATTATCTCTCTGCCTTTTGTTAGTGATTAAAAGGCTGCTCAGACCTACTGTAAAAACAGCAAGGTGTAATCTGTGAGGCAGAGGAGAACCTGTCCCACCAAGGAGATAAATGTGCTAGCTCTGCAGGAGGGAAAGGCTGATAATTGTCACCTCATGAAATAGTGAGACAAGGTGAAACCCATTTTGGTTGTAGAAGATGCTGAAGGGCTGGGAAGTGAGGGGAAAAGGGCGTGGGAGAAAAATGTTGTGAGGAAAGCGTGGAGAAAAGAGGGAGAAAGGTGAAAGGCAGACCAAGAGTCTGGAGTAGGAATGAGTGGGAAGATGTCTGAGGCCAGCACCTGCAGAGGAGTAAGGAGAAAATGTCTCCTATCTTTGTTTTGGTGATTTTAAACCAGATCAGGGATTCCAAGCATTTGAGACCACTGCTCATTTCTTTATCCCCTGTCTCTATCCCAGCTCACCGTGCTGGTTTCAACCAAGGGGGCTTTGCCCTCTCCAATTAGAAAGCAGCTCCTCCAGAGGTGAATCCGTGCCCGCTTTGTTCCCATGAGCTGGAGGGCAGGTTGTCACTGTAATTGCTGCTTGAGAGTGCTCTGCAGTAGTGGCAGGGTTTGTCACATGAACTACAAGATGAGGATTGTAAATGCGAGTTGATTTCAGAAATGCAAAATTTTCATTGATTGCCTGCCCTAATTGATTGCTTGAGTATCTGTTGCTCGTAATGGAGATAATTGTGGTGATATTCTTGCTTTGATACCCACAAGATGCCCCTTGATATCTAGTAATCAACAAATCAACATCTGCCTCTCATCTTCTGCTTTTTCAGCTGCCTTCCTCTTGTTCCAGCCCTTCTCGAGCTCTTGCTCTCCTTTTCTAGCTGCAGAGTGCCTTTTTCCCCAGTGAGAGCGTGGGGCTGAGCAGCTCATCTGTTCTGTATGAGGGCACAGCACAGCTCCTGGTGTGTGTGTGTGCATGGCTGGGCTCCCTCAGTCTGTGTGTCCCCAGAACATTCCAGCCTGCTCAGGGCACCAAGGGAATTCACTCACAGACCCAGACCCAGGGCACACACAGGCCATGTCCTGCTGCCTGCTTCCAAAGCCAGGAGAGAAACCAGCAATGTAAACCACAGCAGCTTTGCTCTCAGCTAATTCCCAAGCACTGCCAGGGCAGATGGATCTTGTCTGTGCTGGAGAGATGCTTTTCCTGCAGGTCTGGATCAGTTCTTAGAGACAGATGAGCACCATGTGTGGGAACTTGTTCTTGTCCCTCTGTCAGCTCCCTCTGTTCTTCTGTGGTGTCTGGAAAAGCCCCCCAGGGGGAAGTGCCATGTGTCCCCCTGCCATGGATTGCTGACCTGCTCCCTCCTGTCTCATGCACGGAGTGTGAGCTGTGTCTCGTGGTTTTAAAGCAAGCATAGATCCTTCTTCCTGTGGGCTCTCTGGCAGAGCTAGATGTCAGCTGGGGAAAGGAGCTCCTAAACTCCAGGAATTTACCCTAGCACTTCACAGCCAGCTGTTACCTGTGTGGCCATTTACCTGCACTTCTCCACTCATGCTGTTCTCTCGTGGCATTTCCCCTGCTTTGGCCTTGTTTCTGGTTTGAGGCAGGCTTTTGGTGTGTGTTGGTGGTGCTTACTGCTAAAGTGACTGAGGCTCCAGAGGAATACAGACCTTGGGAACTCTCCCTGCTCCTCCCCTATTTGCCATCCTTTTCATGAATGCCTTGCCATAGGTTTTAAGGCAATCCACAGGCATTTTCACCTGTTCTCTTAAACCACAGCTCTGTGCTGCTTCATCTTTGCCTCAGAAACCCTGTCAACCCCCAGGCAGTGGCTCCATTTCCTGAAAGGCTGTCAATTATTCCTTACTTCTTCTTATGCTTTGGGATTAGAAATCCATTTTGGTGCAGATTTAGTGTGTCTGTTCCTACCACACTGTCTCCCATTGCTCTGCTGAAGAGATTTGGCTAAATTGGGTAAGACTGGACTGAGCAGGCACAAAGCAGGAGATGTTAAACTTGCCTTTCATGAAGTGTCCCACTGCAGCCCTGTGGAATGACACAGTTGCTGATTTGCATCTGGTCCTGAGGTGTCCAGGCTTTGGGACACCTGTTGAAGCACAAGTGTGGCAGAGGTGCCACACCTTGGCTCAGACTTGCATTGGCCACACGTCTGGCACTCCGGGGTTCAGGGCACAGACCTGACACAGCTCCTGCCTGCTCATGGCATCAAACACTTGGTACAGCTGTGCCAAAGCCAAAGGAAAGCTCGAATTTTTGTATTCTGGATCAGCAAGCGGTGCTGAAGAGCCAACTGGCAGGAGATCCAAAGATCCAAACTCTTAATTCCCTCAGCGTTAAAACAGATTAGATGATTATTTTGGTCTGTCAGTCACTGCCATCATGTTACACCAACAGCAGTCGGTTTCAGCAGAATCCTGAATATCTTATCAAGTGCTGCTGGCCTTCACGGTGCATGGCATTATTGGTGGAGTAGAAAACTATAGATAATGAAATAATTTTTAATTATTTCTTCATAAATAAACAATTTATAAACTTGTTTGCTTTCTCACCATCTGGAAGCATTCTGTTCTCCATCTGCTTCATGTAATTATCAATGTAAGGGAAGAATAGGTGATATAATTAACAAGAATAACTGATCCACAATGAAGAACAAAAAT